CCCCAAAACCCCAAAACCCCACAATAGGAGATAAGAAGATTTCTTAAATGAAATAGAAATATACTTAAATTGAAAATTGAAATCATCAAACATAGTAATTTCAGCATAGCATATATATTCTCGAGGCTCATCTGTATCTTCTTTGAGGAGATGACCTTTCTAAGTCGTACATGGACTTATGTAACTCATGCTCTGTCTTTTATCTAAGTTCAACTACTCTTTCTCTTCTGTTGAGAGTGGTTCTGATCTACTCGTCTGTCTCAACGAACTTTTCTAATTCTCTATTTAACTCTTTATTTTGATTTTCAAGAACTGCGATGTGCTATTATAATGCTGCAATCTCAGCTCTCAAGTCACTATTTCTATCATGAATACTAGAGTTGCTGAACTTAACATCATCTAGCTCTTTTCTGATAACAATAACTTGATCGTCTCTGCTTCTGTTTTTACTCTCAAGATCGAATAAAAGAGCGCTTAGCTCTCTGTTCTTTTACAACTCTAAGTCTCTTTGTCTTAAAAGTGCGACTTTCTCCTCGTTTTATCTATCGTATTATCTTTGCTAACCGAGGTTGTCACCTTGAAGTCTTTGAGACTCGTCCTTTAGTCTGGCTAGTTCAATTTGAGCTGAATCAAGAGCTTCTGAAGTTCTTCTCAAGTCGAACTCCTTTGACTCGGCAAGTTTGCCTAGCTCTGATGCTCTTTCTTGATTCTTAAGGAGGTCATAATCAACACCTCTAATTCTTTGAGCTTAGTCGCCGTTTTCTCTCTCTCTGTAGGCAGAGAGCTCTCTCAATCTGGCAATTTCATCGAGATCCTTAAGTTTCTCCTCCTTAAGCTTTGAGACTTCGTAGCTAAGGTTGTCAATATCTTTTCTGATTTGATAGCCTTAGTCTGACTTATGAGCGAGATCTCTTTAAATGCCAGTAATATCTCCTTCTTTTCTGTTAATTTGATCTCTATTTGCAGCGATCTCCTATTGATAATCGTTATTAACTCTAGATTTCTCATTCAATAAGAATCTAAGGTCGTCAATTTCCTTTTTTAAGGCCATAATGCTCATAGCATTGCCCTCGTGCTTTCCTCTGAAGTCATTATCTTGAAGAAGCTATGTTGTTGTTAATTTTTGAATGAAAGTTACCTTTTCATCTTGAAGATGTCTATACTTAGATTGGATGTTGTGAAGTTGGTCTCTAAGGGCTAGATAGTCTTTATCTCTTTGCTGGATCTCAAAGATTTCGGCCTTAAGTTATGAAATAAGCAAATCCTTTTGGTCGCTGGCTAGATGAACGCTGTCGTAATACTATAGATATATTAGCCTTTGAATGGATATATACTCTTGACATAGAGATTAGAAGTCAAATAAAATCTAAAATAAAATTTATTAAGCAAATTTTTTCTCATTTAAATTTCATAATTGCCATTGTGGGGGTTTTGGGGTTTTGGGGTTTTGGGG